GAGAAGTTTTGAGGTAAGAAATCAGCTGTGTAGATTTAGAATATTGACAGTTTTACGAGAAGTGATGGCGGAACAAAAATGTGCTTGAATATTTTCGGAGTTGAGGAGCTCCGCGAATGGCTGTGGGGGAAGCCTGCGCCAACCCGTGGGAGAAGAGTGTGAGGCCGGCCAGCCGCCCACTCACAGAGCCCTCTGCTCCCGCCGTCACACAGACCGCTGCAGCAACAACGGCAGAGGAAAACACAGCTGGAAAGTTTTCATGCCGCTTATCTGTCTTTACATTCTGAGGAATGTTGAAACGGTTTAAGATCGCTAGTGTGTGTGTTGCATTAAACATTACGTCGCGGCAGTTGTGTATGGAATCGCTATGACGACCTACTACGTACTATCTCTAGGTACTATCTGCAATGGAAAATGGAGCAGGGCCGAGTAGTCGAGTCTATCAATTTGCGCTATGGTAGCATTTTTCGGCAAGGCAGCATAGATCATCAGAACACCGGCAACAGTTCAACGTTTAGTCCTAATGGTAAGATGTGGAACAATGATGATGTGTGGTTGTGGACTTGAGAGTAACTTATATCATCTGCTAGGTTACGGTCGCAGTCTGAAGCGGCTTTGATTTGGACCACACTACCTTGTTTCTTACGACCCGCCCTTCTCTGCTTCTGATTGGCTAGTAGTCCTTACCTGGGAACTGCGCATGTCCCAACAAAGATTTTGTACAAGTAAGATGCATCAATCTGTAGCTCAAGAGCGGAGCGTACAACACATATGGTGAAAAGAGGAGCTGCAGCAATGTGCAGTAAGAGAAAAATATAGTGTTTTTTGAAAATTAAACTTATTTAAATTATTATTATTATTTATTAATTTAAATTATTTGGGGTCTCCAAATTTATTTGATATAAAATGAACAAATCCACACTGGCTGATCCACTACAAATGAAACACATTGGTTAAGTGGTGCTAGGCTATACATGTCAATAAAAACAGCAGTATGATTTCAGAAAATAAGCAGTGAAATTGAGTTATTGAGTTATCTTACTGACTGGATAAATAATAATAAGATGCAATATAATTTAATAAATGTCTTATGTTACATACCTTCTCCCTCTACACCAACGACTGCACCTCAGGGGACCCATCTGTCAAACTCCTGAAGTTCGCTGACGACACAACGGTCATCGGCCTCATCCAGGGCGGTGATGAGTCGACCTACAGACGGGAGGTCGGTCAGCTGGCTCTCTGGTGCGGTCAGAACAACCTGGAGCTTAACACGCTCAAAACTGTGGAGATGATCGTGGACTTCAGGAGGAGCCCCCCCACTCTGCCCCCCATCACCATACTCAGCCCTGTGTCTGCTGTGGAATCCTTCAGATTTCTTGGATCCACTATTTCCCAGGATCTGAAGTGGGAGCCCAACACGGACACCATCATCAAGAAGGCCCAGCAGCAGATGTACTTCCTGCGCCAGCTCAGGAAGCTCAACCTGCCAAAGGACCTGCTGATCCAATTCTACACAGCCATCATCCAGTCTGTGCTCTGCACGTCCATCACTGTCTGGTTTGGATCTGCCACCAAAAAGGACAGGAGCAGACTACAACGGACAGTCAGGACTGCAGAAAAAATTATCGGTGCAATCCAGCCCTCCATTCAGGACATATACATTTCCAGAGTCAGGAAACAGGCACAAAACATCACTGCAGATCCATCTCACCCCGGACACAACCTGTTCCAGCTTCTCCCCTCTGGTAGGTGCTACAGAGCACTGTACGCCAAAACAAACAGACTCAGGAACAGTTTCTTCCCACAAACCATCACTCTGATGATCAGCTGATTTTTGACTCACAGTGTCAGGAACAATTCTTGTGCAATAACAAAGTAACTCTGCTTCTAACCAGCCACCTGTTTACTGGCTAACACTTATTATTTATTCACCATTCCCTATTTCAGTGCTTTTCATGCCATTATATTGTCACATTGTAGAAACTGTATACCAAACCCAGCTACCTCAAGTCGTTACTCCTGCACAAAATACTTTTACTTATTTATTCCAGTACATGTATGCATGTATATGTACCTGTATATCACATCCACCTCCGACATGTACATACTCCTGCATCCTTTGCACTCTACTCACTGCACTATTTGTCAATATGTCTATATTGTTTTTGTTCATAGTGTATATTTGTTGTTGTTTACACTGAAGTCTGCGTCTGATTTTAATTTATTTTTATTATTATGATTTTGTAATTTTGCAAAGCACATCATGAGCAATGCACAATCCAGAATCAAATTCCTCGTATGTGTACAAATACCTGGCAATAAAGCTGATTCTGATAAAGGTATAGACCACGCCCATTTCCTTCTAATTTTTTCCTCGCAACATTGCAAAAACTGAAAAACCTATTCTAAGTCCCACCAGCACCAAATTTCACAAGGACCATCTCTGGACGAAGCTGATAAAAGTTTGTTTAGGAAATTTTGATCGTCAAAATGCAAAAAACAGGAAGTGATGTCATATCTTAGATTTGGAATGGCCGATCGACACCCACCATACTTGGGCACCCAATGTGGGATGTGGTAGCTCCTAGGTGGCGCTGTGTAACAGCAATTATCTGTTCATCTGTGACCACAAGTCACATTGACATGAAACTTGAGCTGAATTGTTCAAGATTGTCTCCTGACTCCAGGGACCAAAGTTAACCCTAATTTGCCCATAGGTGGCGCTGTTATTGCAGATTAAAGATGTTTCAAAAAATGCCATTGACATACATTCATTTCATTTCTCCATAACCACAAGTCCGATAGCTGTTAAGTGATATGAAATGAGACTCCCATACACATACATACTTTATATATCTGCATAGACACAAATCCTGTTAATATGAAACTCTGGTCATTCATTCACCACTTACTGACTGCATGAAGAAAAGGATTGCAATTTCTGACAGAAAAGCTACAAAACGAAATTTAACCCAGTCTGATACTGACATACGTTTTGGTGAAGCTGAAGCATGTTGTTTGGTGGATAAAACTCACACTTGCACACAATGCTTGTGCTCTGGAAGAAAGGGGGCATCGGAGCTCCACCCCATTAGAACCGATCTGCAGGAAGAGCCACCCCTCCTGAGTAGTGATGGTGGTAGAGGGGGACACATGCAAGATGGGATGACTAAAGTACATAATTTGTATTCCCCCGTTTGAAAAGAGAGGATACTGTTGAGTTTTAAAAAGTTACAACAAACTTAATGTACTTCAGTGTTTCAGTGTTTTCCTTCAAATGTAAACCTGCTGGGTTTTAGGCCAGACAATTGCATTAGAATGTTGATTAAACGATTGTTTGTATCCTCTTTGTAACTTACACCTCTTTGTTTAGTGCCAGAAGGACTGTTTTGTTTTGACTGTTTCATTGACACTTAAGATGGGGTGTCAACCATTTTGTAGACAAGCCCTGTTGTTCTCTATGATTAGTTTAGAGTAAAAGACTGTTTATTCCTGTAGATTGAAGGGGGGTTCACGTCTGGGATCGGTGCTCTTTTGTTCGACCAAAAGGTAGAACAGTAAGGTACACCCTTCCCAATTGGGTGACGAAGAAGTTAACCAAACGACCAATGGCTATGGACCTAAGCCATTTGGAGGAAAATGGACCCGCCCACATACCTGGAGGATATCAACAATTTATTTTGTGAGAATCAGGACTGTAAGCTGTGGATCTGAGAGGAGAAGCAGCTTTTCAGTCCACTGCTGGAGGCGGCTTTACCTCAGTCTGTTAGGACTTGACTGAAAGCTGTAAATCTGAAAGGAGGACCAACTTTTCAGTTCACTGCAGTGTTATTTGTTTGTTCTGTAATGCCATCTCTTTATTCACTAATTTTTGTAATTAAATCTTTTTGTTAATTTTCATTGGACTGAGCCTCTCCTTTCTCAAAATCTGAAAAAACGCAACAATACCCAATGCATTACATTTGTGTTTAAACATTTATTTAGGCTATACAAACAAACAAAACCAAACAAACAAACCACTCAATTAACAAGGCTGCCTATGAGTAGAAAGAAATTGTTTGATGTGATAAGTGGTACACTGAAAGATTTATTTAATAGTGTTATATTTCCATAACTTGTTTTTACAAGCAGCACAGCCCTTGGCTCGATAAGGCAACAAACATGTGATAACAATAAATGCACTAGTATTTGCTCGACTGAAGCAATGAAAACGGCGTCAATTTAAATGTACTAATATTTTAGGCGTTCTTTCTGCAAAAGAACACCTAAAATATTTAGTACAGTTTAATCGGGAATTATATTAATTAACACTTCCATGCAGTGGAATTTATTCTCATAAATAAGGTGAACAGTAGGGCAAATTACATTTAAATTGATGCCGTTTTCAAGAAACAGATATCTCTGTTTCTGTTTGTTATCCTAAATCCTGTTTCTTTTTGTGTGCACCGCAAATGATCTTATATGATGTTTTTTATTGCGCACTTCAGGGGAAAACAATCGAACGGGTGTTTGTTTATTCAGAAAGGCTTTAAGACTATACTCAGATGTAATATTTCGATTTATTTTACTCAAGAGAATCCATTTCAAATGTTTCAGTCATCTGCCATGTGAGTCGCCGTTTCTAATTTCTCCAGTCTATGTATGCGCATGTGTTTGCATGGTGGATCGCAGATTCTCCATTCAATTTTTTTTTTATATAGGACACAACCTTTACTTAGGAAGTGGCGTATGTACGTTTCCAGCCTTGTATTGTACATAGGCATGAGGAACCAGGGCTGCAAAGTCTCATTTAAATGGACTAATTCAATTTTTAAAACCCACCTTTTAAAAAATACTTTTTATTTATTTCATAAATGTTTTATGATATTTTAGTTCATGTTATTATATTTTTGTTTTAAATGTATTCTGTTTTTTTGGAAAGCACTAACTGTTTTGAAAGGTGCTAATTAAGCAGGACTTCATGTCGAATTGTCCACTTTTATTTTGAAGGCAGCAGTTCTCATGTTCCGGTCATATGTTAGGAGTTTGTAGACTCGTTGGCTTACATCATGTAGCAGTAAGTTAATGAGCGTCCTCTCGCTATCTCCAAGCCGCAGACATGGCTCTGTCTCTGGGATGGCTCTTGTCTCTGGCCGCAGGTGTTTTCTCCGCTCATGTTTTGCAGAAACTCTGCTTCCCATACTTTTGGAGTGACCTCCTCTTTCTGTTGAAGGTGATCACCTACGGTGTGAAGCTGGAGCTGTTCAAGATGACATCAAGCGTGTGCACGGTTCTGGAGAAGTTCATCCAGCAGGCGCACCGCATCCCCAACAAGCCGTTTGTCATCTACGATGAAAGCATCCACACCTACCGGGACATCGAGCGACGCAGCAACAGACTCGCTAATGTGTTCCTCGAGAGAGTGAGTCTGAAGAGAGGAGACTGCGTTGCCTTGCTCATGAGCAACGAGCCCGACTTCTTGTGCGTTTGGTTCGGGTTGGCGAAGATCGGCTGCTCTGTCGCTTTCCTCAACATCAACATCAAGTCCAAGTCTCTGCTGCACTGCTTTAACTGCTGTGGAGCCAAAACTCTGATTGTTGGTTCAGGTAAAGCTCTCACCTTTGCTTGTTTATCTCTCCTGCAGGTGCACCACTGTGGCTTCATCAACGCCGTCTCTTATCACTTTGGTGCCTTGCAGGTCAGGTGTCCCCTAGGCCATGATCTCTTCATTCTAATATTTTGATACTTGGATACTAGGAAATAGCATATAGGATATATTATGTTTTGAAATTAACTTTATTTAAATTTGTGCTGTGTGTAATGTCATCAATAACACAAGCCAATGAGTAGCCTACATCCTAAGTAAGTAACATGGTCATTCAATTCGGATTCTAACATTATCCAAATAGATAACCCATTCTATTTTGTACACTGATGCTGTGCTGTAGCATTTCTATAATATCCTTTGCATAGTCAGTGTGGCCAGCTGTCATTCCAGGAGTGAATATGTGCTCATGTGGTGGAAGACATATTCAGATCCTTTACTTAAGTAAATGTAGCCACACTGCACTACTAAATACTTTGTTACGTTACATCTATCAAATAATTAACAGTCCACCATTCACAAAAGTATTGACATAGCAATATAGTTTATAGTATAAAATGTAAAAGTACCTATTATTGCAGAATTGCCCTTTCAGAGTGATGTTTCTGCAGAGGCAAATAGTGTACTTTTTACACATGCTAAACATTTGATAGGCCCATTAAATAACAGGTAGTTTCGAGAAACAGTCAGTGCTTGATTTTATTATAATGCCCAGTTGTGAACCTCAATCACCCACTGTCACACAGGTCACGGTTGTTGTTTTCAAACTCTGGTGTGAACTGTGTTGAGTTCAGCTGAATTACTCAATATGGGAGTCAACGGTGCCAATATGCAAAAAGGCTAGGCTGTAACATGAATGAATGTGTTGTAATTGCTGTCAATTTTAATGATACAACAATATGACATTCAGTTAACCCACATTTAACTTCCACCCATGTTCCGCTGGAACAGTCCTATTTGTACAGTTAATAGGATTCATAATGCTGCAGCCATGTGACAGGATGGAAGATCATGGCTCAACCAAACAAGTATGATGTTGGTCAGGGACACTGTCGTCACTATAACCCCAGTGCAACAGGAGAAGAATTCATGGAATAGCTGGAACATGTGGGACAGAATACAGTGCAGTGAAAAGTATTTGATTTTTTCTATCTTTGCATATTTGTCACACAAAATTGTTTCAGTTCTTTAAACTAAATTTAAACTAAGACAAAGAAAACCTGAGTAAACACAAAATACAGTTTTTTTAAATAATGTCATGTTATGAAGGAAACAAGTTATGAAACAAGACACTCAGGTTTTCTTTGTCTTATATTTATTTATTTTGATCTGAAACAATTAAATGTGACCAATATATAAAAATAGAAGAAATCAGGAAGAGGGCAGTGTAAGCACTGATCCTATATGAAGTAGAAATTTCATGAAATGTACCTTTGGCTGTCTCCATCTTCCAGATTTAGTGGAATGTCTGGACGGCATCCTGATCAGCCTGTTGGAGGACAACATTCAGGTGTGGGCCATGAAGAGTCAGAGTGTGCACCCACAGGTGCACACTCTGTTGGACAAGATCGATGCTGCCTCTGACCAGCCTGTACCAGCTGCATTACGTGTCACCACCTCCCTCAAATCCCCCACCCTCTACATCTTCACCTCTGGAACAACTGGTGAGTCTGTGAGTCTTAAACATATTGATTTACTTCCATTATGTTTGTTTAGTTAGAGAACTTGCAATAGGGGTGTAAATGCAAAAAATGCCCCTTGGTGCACCTCTCCCCTGCCTAAGGGAGATCTACACCAGCAGCACATCCCAACACATCTTCTCCCTCCTGCCATCTGGGATGAGGTACAGAAGCATCAGCTGCAGATCCTGCAGGATGCTTAACAGTTTTTATCCACAAGCTGTTAGAATTAGTAATGGTTTGCTCTTGGATCTGTATGCTGAACTGGGTCCAGCATTAGGCTGACCAAGCTGTCAGAACTGCGCCAACCGTCAAATATAGGTAGGCTATAACCACTCTGGGGATATGATCATCAATATAGTTTACTTTTCTGCCTAAAGCCCCTTTTGGGATTAAGCCAATATCATTCTGTTAAACTCATTGAATTGTCTTTTGTTTGTGACCCGCTGCTGTAACCTCCAACTCACAAGCACCTCCATTTCTGTGTCAGGAAATATAATTTTAATCTTCCTCTCAGTTGTTGTTGCTGTGATTCATGGTAAGCAGGCTCATTTATATGCATCAGTATTCATAAGGTGTTTTGCATTTATTGTCCACTGTGGGCGTGTATAGGGGGATATGAGGCTGATTCATGTGTGCACATTTCCAGGTGGAATGTTATTTAAAAAGAGACATTTACCTGTAGGTATACACATGCACGGTTTTATAAATCTGTAGTGCATTTTATGAATTTGCATCTGGAGGAAACAGCAGACACAAAAACACAGATGAACTCTCTAGGCAGATAATATGGTTGTCATCTTAACAATAAAAATTAGAGCCCGACCGATATGGGATTTTAACATTTTAACATAAACAACGTTTATCCCTAACATTTGCTATGTTGAGACCTCACCAAGATACCATGACATAATGCAGTTTAAAAATAAACTTTGTTATTGATATAATTAGTACTTTGAACAAAAGTACAACAAAGTATATTAAAGTTTTGATAAATAAGAGTCAAATGTATGAAAGTACAGAAAACATTTTTAAAATATCTGATTTGAGTGTGCCTTAGAGTGTTCACAGAAACGTTCAAATGCCAGCAGTGCCACATTCAATCTCCAAACTGGGCGCTGTGTTCTAAACTGGGAGAACGTGATGTCTAAAATCACAGGTGCATGGTCTGATACCATGATGACAGTGTATTCTGTGTTCTTTACTGTTGGGAGAAGCTTTTTGTCTATGAAAAAGTAATCTATTCTGCTGAATGTATGGTGGACATGAGAAAAGAAAATTTCTTCTGGTGAGGATATAAAAACCTCCAAGGATCTATACCACCAGTCTGATCTAAGAAGTCACAGAGGGCCCGGGACATTTTGGAACGCGTTAACTTGGGATGCGAACGGTCTTTAACAGGATCAGTTACAGCGTTCAGATCTCCAGCAAGAATCAGCTTGTGAGAATTGAAGTTGGGAAAAATTAGTTTATTAATAAAACCAACGTCATCCCAGTTCGGGGCATATACACTTATGAGTACCACAGGTGTATAAAAAAGATGTCATGACACTATTATAAATTGGCCTAATGGGTTTGAAATAATAGTTTCTGAGGCAGTGAATAATATTTTTTATGAATCAATATTGCTGTACCCCTGGCGTTCGTATTAAAATTGGAATGAAAAGACTGCCCCACCCAGTTCTTTCTAAGCCTGATTTGGTCCACTATGGTTAAATGTTTCCTGTAAAAAAAGCTATTTCAGTGTTTAGTCTTTTCAAGTGGGATAATGTACACGCTCTTTTTATCAGCCTGTTCGTGCCCTTAACATTTCAGTTTGTAAACCGGACAGATGCACCTCCACCTATCTCCCTGGCACCCGTTTTAGCCTCAGTTGACATTATACAAAGTTTCATTACATTTCCTCATTTGGCAGACGCTTTTATCCCAAGCATTTGAGGAACAACATACAAGCATCAACAGAGCATCAAATACAGATCAACATCTGACAATACATACTAGTAAAAGCAGCAACACATACTAGTAAGAGCTCACAGTACATATCACATCAATGGGGTAGATACCTAGGGAAGGAAGTAAGAGTTAACAAAGTGCAATCAAAACAAGATCATTGTAGGGGATAGAAGAAGAAGAGCACAGGAAGTGCATGTTAGAGGTTAGGAGTTAGAGGTGTTATAAGAGGAAGTGTTCTCAGAAGAGATGAGTTTTCAAGAGCTTCTAGAAGTTAGAGAGGGACGCCCCTGCTCTGATGGCGTGTGGTAGCTCGTTCCACCATCGTGGTGTCACAGATGAGAATAGCCGGGACTGGGACTGGGTTATACAAAAAGAAAAAGGTTACAGTATGCTGTACAGCAGCTCCGTGCCCCAAAAGGACAAGCTTGACCAAAATAAATAAATAAACAAAAAATCCCCCATAAGGCAACAGGAGACCCATCCCACTATACAACATCCCAGTACACAGCATAAAGTATAACTTGGCCAGTGTCTGCCTCTGAAACATGGGCAAACTGCAGGCCTCTTCCCTGGACTTGTCTTCCAGAGATCCAACTAACTCTACTACCTAAACTCTAAGGAGCTATCGAGCTAGCGACAGCATAATAGTTTTAAACCGCAGTTAAACCTGATATATACACAGTTAAGCAGACCCAATAAAAACATTTTGGTACCAGCCACAATGGTCATGACTGTTACAAGTAATTAACCTGAGCTGTAACTTAGTACCACAACAAATGCATTTGTTGTTTGCATTACCTTTGAACTTTGCATTTCATAGTGATGTAATAGATTGGTGAAGAAAAAAACAAACAAAAAACATCTCTTAATTGTGATTGAGTTCACTGGTCCAGCTCACCAGTTCCAAAATCCTTAGCAGTGGTGGACACACTTATAGCAAGATTGTCCCAGGCGACCAACATAACTAGTATCTGGCCGTATAATCTAGCGAGAATCATCAACCATTACCTTCTGATTGTAGAAAGTCTTTGCCTCCTCTGGCGTGTTTAATTTGAGGGTTTCTCCTCCAAAAAAAACCATGCAGGCCGGCAGAGCATTACATTTATTTATTTAGCTGACGCTTTTATCCAAAGCGACTTACAATTGCTATACATGTCAGAGGTCGCACGCCTCTGGAGCAACTAGGGGTTAATTGTCTTGCTCAGAGATACATTGGTAGATGGGTCACAGTGGGGGATTGAACCCGGGTCTCTCACACCAAAGGAATGCGTCTTATCCATTGCGCCATCACCAGCAGACAAAATTTTATCCCCTTCTTGTCCCCTTCGCACCGCTTCGACACGCTGACACTGAAATCTGGGTATATTCTCAATGTGGACTTTTTGTACCTCAGTTTGTGTTGTCTGGCCCATCGCAGCACTTGCTCCTTCTCTTGAAACTGTTGGAAGCAGACTACAAATGGACGGGGCGGTCATCCACAGCCAAGTTTCTTTCCCACTCTGTGCGATCTCTCCAAAGCCGGTGCTCTGTTGAAAACTTTGTCGCCCATAACTTCCATGAGCATGTCTAACACAAAGGCAACGGTCTGTGTTACCTTCATTGTCTTCAAGGACATTTATAATCCTTAAGTTGGCTCTGCGAGAGCAATTTTCCAGATCTTCAATCCGGCCCAGGAGTGTCGCATTCTGTGTCTGGAGAGCTTTAATGGCTGTTTCAGCAGCGAATATTTTTTGAAAGTTTTCCCCTGCGAAGGAATCCGTTGCAGTCAAACGTTTTTGGAAGTTATCTACTGTAACCGTAAAGCAGACAGAAGCTTGAATGGCCTAAACCAGAAGTCACCTTTTAATAAATGTTTTAAAAGTGCGTGAATAAATCCAAAATTACCCTTAAAGAAGGGGGGTCAGTGTGCATGTGTAGGCGTATTGTATATGTTTGTGTGTAGCCCTGCAGTCTGTGTATGTAGCCTATGTTGTAGTAGGCAGAGAGACGGAGCCCCAGCCTCACTGCTGTTGTGCCGAGTTGTTGAGAATATTATATTGTTTTTAAATAGTACTTGAAATAGACCCGCAACGTGCATGCATTTGTTGGCCGCACGCAAAACTGCACAAGACCAGTGAATGACAGGCGAGCAGAGCAGAGAGTAAATGATCAACAAGCCTCAGTTTATCTGTAACGTTAAATGTACGGTGTAAGTTACAGTGACTAATAAATAGAGGCTGCAGTTCTGCAGCTTCTACCGTATTACCTTACATATAATCTGCCACAATGACTACTTTCTAAAACATATCGTCTATGGTGCAGTGTCCCAGAGGAAACACTGCTGTTTAATTAATCTAATACTACATGACAGTCTACAAGGAGAACCTGCAACTTTGGGATTCACACTAACATTTCACATTCAAAAGAAGAGGTAACATTAGAGAACTTTGTTAGGCAGGAAGCTGTGTTAGATTCTTGTACAGTAAGTAAGTCCTCTCTGGTTTAATCATTTCTGTCTGTTACTAGAGACAAGCAGCTTGCAGATATATTTAGAATACGTTAAACAGTTTAGTTTAATTGCTCATTAATGTTAGCGCTCCTCCACTGATAAACACAGCATTGGCTTTGTGGCTAATTTAGCAATGGGCAGCATTAACTGCTTTAGAAGTAATGAACTAGGGAGAAATGAGAGGACCATTCACTAGACTCTCTGTTCCTCTTTTTGTAATAGTCATTTATCAGCTGTTATAAACGAAGATGCAAGTAGCTTATATCAGCCGATAATGTCTGCAAAACGATAAACCAGTCGAGCTCTATTAAGATGTAGAGCGGCAGATGTCTGTAGCTTGTGTGAACAACAACACCATTTCCATCCCAAGCATATCACTGTGACCTGAAGATTTGCTTTAAAACAGAACAGTGTTTGTAAAACTGGTCAGCACAGAGGGCGGGTGACATGGTGGCATTTCAGTGTTCAGTTTTCACTTTCATTATTGGAGTCAGAAACCTGTTAGGTTTCTTCTCAGGAGTATCCACAAAATTATTATATTGGTAGAATTACAATTGAAATGCATGGTGTGACACTGTGTTGTGTTGCCATGGAGACAATTAATCCTAATACTGGATATAGGGCAGCACAGCAATTAAAATGGACAGAAAGCATCAAGTGTTTATTTTGCAATGTCATGTAATGAAGTATCTGTCTTGTCTATGTCTTTTTATTTTCACAGGGCTCCCTAAGGCTGCAGTGGTCACTCACCTCCAGAGCTTGAAGGCGGCAGCAGGTTTTTGGGCATTTGGGGCGACTAAAGATGACGTGATTTACATCCCTCTGCCGCTCTACCACAGTGCAGCTTCCTTGATAGGTATAGGAGGAACCATAGAGCTGGGTAGGCCTCAGAATATCTCTATATGTTGTAAGCATTTAATCTGTTTTGTCAGATGAAATCTAAACATCTAACAAACTGTCTAGATCAGGGGTTTTTAAAGTCTGACACTGTGGGGCCCCCTTCAGACGGACAACATGAGCTGTTTCTTTAACCTGTATTTGTTCACTGGATTGCTTTGATACTGAAGAAAACTTTATGATTCTCAGGAAAGTTCTGGATTATAAGGAGCATTTTTCTCTATGATTCTTAGCGTCTAAGTTTAGATTTAAAGGTTAAGTGTGTAAGTTTCAGTGCTGAGGGTTGCGAATTGCAAGGAATTGCAAAAAAACTCCTCACTCAATGCCCGCCCTCCCCTATCCAAGTGCTTAAGATAGCTACAGTGGCCGACAAAGGACAAAAGAGAGTAGCCAGTCAAGAAATGAGATATCTTAGGTAGATTTATTAAGAAATTATATTTTACGTAATTATTCAGTAAAACCATATGTTATTACGAATATTACAATGCAAAGAACATCTCAAAAACTATCACATCTAGTGCAAGTATGACCACTGAAAGATAGCAGGAAAATGAAGCTGTTTCTTCACAGTCCATTATAAACCACATAATACATGAAGTTTACAAAGGCATTGTCAGGTGAGAGTCAAGGCTCCTCTCCACACAGTCGTAACACAGTCTGGCTTCATGTTTTCGCTTCTTTGGCAACGAAGATCCACACACTATCGGCTCGTGCTAAATAATACGTGTAGTCCTCCATTTGTCCAAATTTCTACACGCAATGTGATGTACCAAGCCTAAAGGCAATTTCATGTGAGTGCAACAGCCTCTGTATTTAATATGTTTGAAAGGAAGGTGCAAACCGCCAAGTGTTGCACAGAGAGAGCTGCTGTTATTTTTGCCAGAAGGAGACACAGCCGTGAGGAAAGAAAACGTAGAGAAAAATATTAGATAATATTATTCTCTATCCAATATATAGAAATACAATTATTTTATTTATTCGATCAACTATATGAATTGAATTTTATTTTTTTGTATTTTCCTATAGCTTTGGCAATATATTGTAATATTGTAATAATATTGTCATGTCAATAAATCAAATGTCGTTTCGACCTGACTTCTTTTCTCTGAGATGGAAGAATTTAGAAAGTTGTGTTGCACTGTGGAGAGCTCCCGCTGCATAGTGCACGGATTACGTGTAAAATTCATCCAGCCAGAGGGAACGATCACCAACTGTTCACAGCGCGCCGTTCGTAATAGCGACACAACCCATTGTAGGTATCGGAGAGGGAATGAGGAGTTGGGGATTTGGGGCGTACAGGGCCAGGGACAGGAGATTGTAGAGCGACCAGGCACGCTGTGGATGGTCAGTGATTGCTGGATGAAGCACGATCTGCTGGCATTTCGAGTCTGGGTCATTCCAGCAAACTGTATCTGTTTCTGCTGGAGTTTCCCAAAGAAGTTTTTCAGTCGGCTGTTCCAAGTACTTAGTGCAATCTTAGGCAGGATGGGCAGGAAAATACACACTGCCAGACTGTACAGACAGTCACAGATTGTCTGTAATGTTAGTTTCAGCTGTTTTCTCGCAGTTAAATAAACAGAAAATGTGAAACGACCTAATATTAGATGACACATGGAGTAATGTTATGTTACCATGACAGCAGCTGGGCAGATATTACTTTTAATGTGGAGGTGACGAAGAAATATTTAGAAAATAAATGTTAAAGAAACATTTAGACAATACATTTTAATGGACTACTACCTCTGCTGATAATTTGCCATGCTTTTGTGGAGACAAACAGTTAACAGGATTTGCGGTGCTGCAGTCTAGACAAAGTGCTCTGGGAATGCTTTTGCTTCAGGTGTTCATGCTGCTTCACGTATTTGTGCCCAGCAGTTGCGCTGCAGTGAAGCCATTTCCAATTCACAGAGGTCAAGTAGCACCACGTTTGAGTGTCTGTCTAAAATATTCCCAAATTTCATACGTTTGAAGACACGGTCTTGTAGCTGCAGCTTGTCTGGGGGAATCCAAGAGAATTGCAACTCCACTGGCAGTGTCCGCTTTACATGAAGCTGTGGCACATTTTTAGAAATCTTCAAGTGCTGGTTATTAAAACCTGCCATAGGTCATAGGCTTAATTTAATTGTAATTGAGTGGTACATACAGTGGCTATAGAACAGTTCTAAAGCTACAAACAGCTTCTTATCCTTTGGTCCTAGACAAACATCATATTTAATTATTTAACATGTTTTTCAGGTGGTCCGGGTCACAGAATATATCAAAGGGGGGCTCACACTTCTATTTTAAACTTGTGCACAAAATGGACTTTGATGGAGTGTTTTAAGGTTGACAATGACATGATGAAGGCATGTGTCCACACAACATGTCATGATTTGAGTTCAGTGTTAGGTACAGAGAAGCGATTTTCTTTGCAAACTGTTAGTCAGGACTGTCTGCTGACTACAGTGTAACTGCCAAACTATGTGACCCCTTTGAGGACCCGCTGTTTCACTTCAACTAGCAGCTTAATTAGTGCAGGAAGTGGACACTGGGGACTATTATGGAGAATATTATTGTTTGTAGGTCATTGTTGCTGTGTTGCCTTCATGGAAAGACTGAATGAACTTTCATATTTGGGTTTAGATAACATTATAGTACAGTAGAATCTGCATGTTAAGAAGCTCAAAAGTAATGTTACAGTTTTTAGAAAAGCAGCACATTCTAATCAGCTTTCCTATTGATGAATCCTTGGTCTTTGCATTTGTTCCAGCTGCTACCAAAGTTGACAGTTCAATGTCCTTGCAACATCCCGACAGGTTGTGCTAACAAACCTTGGTGAGGCTGCTGTCCTGTTCTAGATGTTGCCATGTATTCAACTTTGTACACATTTGTCAAATTTAGTCTTTAGATTCTCCACATTGGGATAGCTGTTCTGTCATTGTCAGACCAGGTCTACACATGCCAACCTTCACTCCTTTATTCAAGGAAAAAAAGAGTTCTGCAAATGAACAGAATAAAGAGTTAATGGTCCCTGCAAACATTCCCCCTTTTCATACTGAACATAAAGTCATTCCTTCATAGAGCTGTTCCATTGTAAGGAGGACTGTGCTGATGCTCAAAAAATGTAGACAAATATCTAGAGATGGAATCATTAAAGTGAACAATACCTATTTCAGCGTACCAAAGGCCAAGACATTTAAAATTTGTTAGTTAGCTAGCTAACAAACTAGCTAGCTAGTTTAGATTTTCAGCCTAATGCAAAAGCAAACATGGACAACCCCTCTCATCCTCCCCACGCTGAGGTCAAGCAACTCAGGAGCACCTTCAGCCACAGACTCATCTAGCCTCCCCTCAAAGCGCTTTGGAGGCTCACTTGTGCATCAGGCATCAGACTCCACAATGCCACATCATCCACTACTATATAAGGATATCATATTACATTTCAATTGTGTATATAATGTGTATATTCTTTTGTATATTTGATTAGGATTGATTATTGATTTCACTTTTATTGTATTTTATTCCTTAATTCACTCTTGAATTAAGGAGTGCTGCCCTTGCAACTTGATTAAAGGAACTTATCTTAACATCAAACTGTTTTTTAACATTAAAAACAAGATAACATTGCAGACATGGTGTCCTTGTTATTAACAATCGATTAGTTTAGTGGGCCAAAGAGATAACCACTCTTAATACTTTGTACCTCAGTAAGGTTCTGTTTGAGCTATCTCTAGTTTAGCTGTGAGTACCTACACTAATGTTTCTATCTCTTTGTGTAATGAGTGCATCCATTCAGGGAGCTCAGTAAATGGGTTCTTTCTGTTGTGTTGTCATTGTGTTTTGTTTAGGATTATTGGGCTGAAACCATTTAGCCTGGTGTATTTTCTTCATCTTTGTGTGCAGTAGATTTTATTTGGAAAAGCATTGTGAATTTGATCAGAAAGCTTCTCTTACATCACTTAAACAGTTCATTGGACTCTCGAAATATTTTTGGTTTAGCATGAAGTAAACCATGTAGTGGCATAAATATAGGCAGTGCCACCAGTGCAACAGCACTGAGGCCCATGACCTGAAAGGGCCTATGCACAGCTAAGTCCGGACACAATACATATGCCTACCAAATTTGGTGCACGTAGGCCAAAGAGAAAGGAGGGGGCTTTTGTTTTGAAAATGCAAAAGTGCGCAATCGAGCCACTTTTGCGCACCCATGCACGGCGACCTATATCAGATTGCTGCTTGCAGCTTTTATTATTATTATTATTATATATATAGTATTGGAACTAGGAGAATATGAAAATTTTATCCTTTAATAGTGACTTTAATGACATTGTTGTCTGTGTTATGACAGGTGCGACCTGCATCTTGAAGAAGAGGTTCTCAGCCTCCCAGTTCTGGAATGACTGCAGGAAACATGAAGTGACTGTTTTCCAGTATATCGGTGAGCTCTGCAGATACCTCTGCAACCAGCCTAAGGTAATTTTAAAAGTGTTAATAATAATAATATAATGCATGGACATTCTAGGGCCAGTTGGGGTTGCAGAGGTATAATGGTAAAAATTTCATACCATTACAATCCTACTGACAACATCAAAATCCAAATGGTTCATTTTAGAATAAAAATGCCTCAAATACAACTGACAGTGTTGTTTTACCCTCCTAACATAAAAAAATGGTTTGCTCTGAAATGTACAAAGTCACTTTTTTCTCACATGTCTTGTTAGGAATTCCTTTGTTTAGGTAAGTTTAGAAAGAAGTGCTTCGTCGTGATTCTGAAACTCAAACCAAAAACATTGATCTTCAAAGTATCTTAGTGTTTTCGTCTATCCTATATTTTCATTTATCATTAGGCAGAGAGAATCATTTACAGTCACTGCTTCTTGTAAATCAAGTAACACCTTTCTTTTAGTATTTGCATCCTCTTATGGTGGACAAATAGACATGCACGTACTCACAGTATGAGGGCAAAACTCAAAGTCCTCTTTGTCACTCTTCTTCTGTTATTTGGCCATGTGGGTGGAAGGTTGGCATTGACTGTCCTTACCATTGATTGTCAAATAAAAGATGAGGACATAAGCACCTTTTCACAAGGTGCAATGTCCGCACACAAGCGTGAGTACTGATTACTGCTTGTATGCTGTCATCATGCACTGTGTTCAATGTGCAAACATGGCAAATACTATAGAACTCATCATTGAGGACACAAAGCAAGTCAACCCAGGGTTTCCCAATCCAGGCGGGAGCGCGTTCACATAAAAGAGGTGGTGTTAGCAGCAGATGACCAATCACAGACATGAACAAGTCCACTGTCAGCAGAGCGTCATATTTTATGAATTAGGATTAAACTTTAACACTACAGATATACGACATGGTCTTAGAGGCACGCCTGCAGCTGACACATGCAGGGGGACAGAAAATCGCAGACAGTGTGAATGCCTAAATGAACAGGCGTAGTCTATAATAATGCTTTGATTTGATGTGTTCTTATGAGCTGTATGAAAATATTAGCCTTACTGTTTCAGCTCGGCTGTGTCGGCGTCTCCACATTAAAAAACTCGGGCCATTCCCCCTCGCTTTAAAAAACTAGTCGTCACTTCAAAAATGAGATTAATTTAACACACTCAAAAGTGTTCCCAACATTCTAAATTAATGTTCTACATCAACTTCATAAAGCAATGAAACGAAAACTCCATTCATGCCATAAAATGTGCTCAAATAGTGGTTGAAAGACTGAATCTCAACATTTAGGCTACTGAAAACTCACCGTCCCACCTTTTGTGACCAAATCGCAAAAGGTGGGACGGAACATGACTACAGTCTCTGTAGTAGGCCTATAAGAAAGCTATACTAACCTAAAATAGATAGCCTCATATTAAAATTTAGTATTTCAATATCCCTACCAAACTGCTCATAATATTCAGCCTCACATAAGAAAAATGAAACCCATTTATTTTAACGGCTGCGTCAGGCTGTGTGAAACGAACTGGTAGCAAATAAAAAATATTAAACACAACTACTATAAAAACCTGTAGGCAACAATAGCCTAAGGCTTTTAATCAGTCTCTGTAGGATGATATTGCTATAGCCTACAAGAGTTTATCCGTATAACCACAGCAAACATAAAGCAGCCTATAAAACAGTCTGTGGGTTTTCCTACAGATGGGGATGTCATTTTCCAAGAGAGCTGCGAAGGCGGCTTGAGTTGATCTCTTATCTGGAACATAACCTGCTCCGAAGCTGTTCAGCATAAGTTAACATGGTGATCTACCCCGGTAAGTGAACCACCTTCGTGGTACTGAAAACCCAGGGTTAACCCCGAAGTTACCTCGATAAACTCAAATCCTGCTTCGTGGTCCAGGCCCCAGTTCTTCCTTCACAGTTGAGTGTTGCTCAAGGTGTGTTGTCTGCCACCGGTGGTCGATACACGCAGGGCTGGATTACCAACTGAAGCAAAGCAGGCTACTGTCCCTCTGCATCAGACCATCAGGGGCTCCAAAGCCCCCATGCTGATTGTATGTCAGTTGTTTAAGGGGGCCCAGCTTCTTTGCAATACCAGTGATGCTGGGATCCCTCTTGAAATCGCTCAGATTTTTATTTTTCCGTATGTAGAAATCATTCTTTGGTCTAAACCAGCAGGTGGCGCAACAATCAAGGAAATGCATTTTGAGCTGTATCCCACTTATTATGTCACACATTCAAAAACCTTATATGGACCCTTTTCCTGAATTAAACTGCGTCTCGTGACATAGGCCACGTCTATTTCTGCGTGTAATTGTTTTTCAAAATGGTAGTGTATCCGATCTGCATGAGACGTTGCATGTAGAATCTATGAATCCTCATGCTCAAGTTACAAAGAAACAATAAAACAGGAAATTCCCCATGCACAGCAACAAAAGTCAGGTGCTGGTAGGTCGCAGGATAAGACTACAAGCTACAAACGAAAACAAGCACACTGAAATTACTTTATTATATTTATTGTGAGCGATGCGTTTCGCCTAATGCTGCTTCAGGTTCACACAGTAAAATAAATAAATAATAATAATAGGTTTGGGTACGTTTACACGTTATTATCACGTTTATGCATGAATTAACGCCGACAATTATTTTATCTCACGTTAACAGTTTTTAAAAAAAATTATTATTATTTTGAAAGTCCGTTGCTCACTGGCTTTGAATACACATACAGTCAAACCATGGGTCACAGGTGAGGTTGTGCTTTGCGTCACGTACAAAAAGTTCAAGACAATTCAACTTTGGCAGCTGGCGGGCGTATGAGTGAGGCGAAAACAACCGCAACAGTTTCACGGGAACACGCCCGTTTGTCACTACACCTGCTCGACCACTTCACCTCACTCTAACAGGGAAACTTGCAACTGATTGAACATCTGTTTCTGCTGCTCCCTGATAAAAGAAAACTGTTTCTGCTGATACCTGTTCAGAAACCCCCCCCAAGAAAACTGGACTCTGATGGTAACTTGTTCTAGACAAGCTAGATAAAAGGTAATGCCCTGGCAGTGGCAAATAGCTTTGGTTTAATATTTGATTTGATTACATTAATGTTTAAGTTGAGATTTACAAGAAATATTTTATTGCTACTGTGTAAAGAGAATGCTGCTGGTAAAAAGCACCTTATTTGTTTAAAGTGTTTGCAAACCACGTTGTGTGTATATAGCAGTACATTTAAATTGAAAGTGTGCAATACACTACTTTAGAATTCATTATTCAATTTTGCGCATAACTATGCGATTAATCGCAAGAAGATCATGCGATTTATTGCATACATCTATATAAGAAAACTTACATTAAACTATACAAATAAACTTTCTCCCCTTTATTCCACTACTTCATGCATACACGCTGGACTCAGCTACCCTGCACTTTACTGAGTGCACTTTTCTAGTTTAAGGTTTTGATTTGTTCTTCAGATGTCTTTAACACAGTAAATCACATGTCTATATATAGATTTCTAAAAAACACTGTTAATTAGTTTTTCTGTTTCCTCATCATTTTAAAAGTGTACTTTTGCACCTAAGTCAAAAAGACATGGGCAGACTGTCTAACTTCTTAACTTCACTACTTTTTCACCTTTATTCTATTGAAACAATTTCAATTTAATTGCAAGTTGCAATTAATAAATTGGAAATCCTTAAGCCTACTTTGCAGAAAAAAAGCATTGTCTTTGCACTGAAATTATAACATTGAAATTTCTATACTATAAAAGCAGCTGGATTGTGAATCTTTAAAATTTTTGCTCGTTATCTTCAGTACATTAAATTTTTGTAGTTTAATGCCCTTTTTCCTGTATATTCCTATTATATTAATGATAACATGTAAATTAAAGCTGCAAGCAGCGTTGGGCGGGCCCTCGCACTTGTAAGCGCGTCCGCGCGTGAGCCGGCCGAGTTGCATATTCTGGAGCTCTGCCGGTGCGGCTGTGAATTTCCTACGCGGTTCCGACGCCGCATGAAGGTGTTATATGTCACTTCCTGTGTCCCCTATGTGGAGCTACATAGCACTTGCCGCTATGAATATAAATCGGTATTGACGTGTAGATGTCTGCGGGGTGGGAGAGTTAACAAGCACGTAAAGTTTGGTTCAGATGTGACCATGTACACTGAACAATAATGTACCCAAACAATAAAATAAATTCCTTTTATATTTCCCTGCCTTGTTGTTTATGTGTACATACAGAGGAAGAATGTGAGAACAGCACACATTTCATCGTTACTGTGTGTTAGAGCATGGGAGAACAGTGGATACTTTTAATACAGCCCACACCCCTAATACTGTGTAACTATAACAAGTAGAGAACAGAAGAAAAAGATGTTCTTTCTTTACATCTGTCTGCATAGCTTATTCATATTGTGTAATGAATGAAAATAAATAGGCCTACTAGGCTCCTCTCTACTTTGACATTTAAGATTACCTTGTTTGATCCACCTTCATACACATGTGACATTACTGTACAACTTGAGAAAGGTGAGTTGTTTTCTGCTCCAGCCTGCCTAAAAGAAAAGCGTTTTTGGGATTAAATGGACTTTATTAGCTGCTGCAGTGCAGGATGAACTCAGAACAGACCCATTTCTCACCTTATTATTCTAAATCATGCAACGAAGAAGAAGAAATGCATAATAAATCCTGGGACAAAATCTGTCCACAAATATTGTACAGCATGTAGTCTGATGAACAAGACTTGTGTTATAGCTGACTTGGGCAGTGAAATGTTTAATTTTTTTAATTCATGTGGTCATAGTTGTCCACAACTCAAATCAGAATATAAGAAGAAATGTTTTATACCACCTCAAGAAGGCTTCCTATCAGAAAGGTAGGAAGGTATTTCAAATGTACAACTGCAGTACTTAAATCTAAGTAAAGTAATTTCCCGGACATTTTTGTGTTACTTTACTTTTAATAGACACATGTAACAGGTTTTATACTTCCTGTGAGTATAATCCAATCAATCTTATTTTCATACTGTATATCCGATGTGTAATTTGATAAATTGTGTTGTATGTCGTGCTCGCATCTCAGAGAAGACTCTGACTGCAACATGCGTCTTTGTAAAGAGAGAAACGGACAGAAAAAGTCTCTAACTCTGCCTGTCAGCTCGCTCTGCTCCGTTAAAACTGAATTTACCATACAGAATTGAATACGAGTGCACTCCAGATTTAGCTGCAGCCAGCTGACCGTGTGCTTCTCTCTATACCGCAGTTCTGTGTCCATGCATGCAGCAAACTGATAGCACTGTCTGTTGGAGCGTCTACATGAAAAGAGAAGGAAGACATTGCTGGTAGTATTGTCTTCAGAGTTGTTAAACACCTCAGCGCACTGAAGGAAGCCATCTGACTGTGTGAGGGGCAAGATCGTTGATGTCTGCAGGCAGAGTAGGAGCTCTCCTGTCTGACTGGTCCACCAATAGCAGAGAAGATGACCCCTTGAGACACAGCCCCTCCTCATTTGCATAATGAGGCAGAAATGCATACAAAAATTTAAAAAAGACAGGCAGAAATAAATACCATGGGTGAAAATAAATAAGGTAAATAAATACAAAGGAAGAATAAAACAGACAAAAATATTAAAACACACACATAAATAAATACATTAAAAAATTAGTAATAAATAAAGTTGAATAAACAAATAAGGTAATTATAACAAAGGTGAATAAGTAAAGGCACTAATTAAAATATATACATTTATGTCTCCTTGTATAATTTAATTACTACCTACATTTATTTATTTACTTAATTTTTTTGTGTATTTAATTGGATGCTTATTTATTTATTGAGCATTTATTTATTTCTGTATTTATTTCTGACTGTGTCAGGATCGGTCCTCCATAGCGGGGTGGGAGAGTTATCAAGCACGTAAAGTTTGGTTCAGATGTGAGCATGTACACTGAAGTTACAACAACTTCCTGTGTCATGGCGAAGACTTGATCTCTGACGCCACGCCACGGACACACCCATTGACGAAAACTCGCAAATAGCACAACTTTTCATCTTCAATGCCTTTAGAAGGCACAGCACAAATTTGAGGTCGGTCGGACTAAATCCCTAGGAGGAGTTCGTTAAAGTACGAAGTGTGTAAATCATCCAAAATTTGACGTAAAATTCAAAATGGCCGACTTCCTGTTGGGTTTAGCCTATGGCTCCAAGAGACTTTTTTGTGCGTCTGGACAAGATACACGTACCACAGAAAATTCGTGCACGTAGGTGAAACGTGCGGCGGGGGCTGCTTCGTTAAAAGTCACTTCCTGTTGCCAGCAGGTGGCGCTATGACTGTCTGTGAATGTCAGCATGTACATGTGTTCAGGGCGGGACTCTCATCCTAGATGTACAGTTTGGTCCAGATGTGAGCATGTACACTGAAGTTACGACAACTTCCGTGTCATGGCGAAGAGCTGATCTTTGACGCCACGCCACGGACACGCCCATTGACGAAAACTTGCAAATAGCACAACTTTTCATCTTCAATGCCTTTAGAAGGCACAGCCAAAATTTGAGGTCGGTCGGACTAAATCCCTAGGAGGAGTTCGTTAAAGTACGAAGTGTGTAAATCATCCAAAATTTGACGTAAAATTCAAAATGGCCGACTTCCTGTTGGGTTTAGGCTATGGCTCCAAAAGACTTTTTTGTGCGTCTGGACAAGATACACGTACCACAGAAAATTCGTGCACGTAGGTGAAACGTGCGGTGGGGGCTGCTTCGTTAAAGGTCACTTTCTGTTGCCAGCAGGTGGCGCTATGACTGTGGGTGAATGTCGGCATGTACATGTGTTCAGGGCGGGACTCTCATCCTAGATGTACAGTTTGGTCCAGATGTGAGCATGTACACTGAAGTTACAACAACTTCCTGTTTCATTGCGAATCATCGACGCCACGGACACGCCCATTGACGAAAACGCGCAAATAGCACAACTTTTCATCGTCAATGCCTTTAGAAGGCACAGCAGAAATTTGACGTCGATCCGACTAAATCCCTAGGAGGAGTTAGTTAAAGTACGAAGTGTGTAAATCATCCAAAAATGGCCATAAAATTCAAAATGGCCGACTTCCTGTTGAGTTTAGGCTATGGGTTCTTGAGGCTTTTTTGTGCGTCTTGACATGATACATGTCCCCAGAAAATTTCGTACATGTAGGTTGAACGTGAACGAGGGGCTAATTTTTTCCAATTTTCTAGGTGGCGCTAGCGAGTCATTTTGCAACGCCCATGTGCGAAACTTGTAGAATACGAAATTTTTCACCGGTTCTGACATGTTTGCAAATTTTGGTGAGTTTTCGAGTATGTTTAGGCCATGTCATTTGGGCCTACTTTGCAGAAAAAAGAAAAAAAAAAAAAAAAAAAAAAAAAAAAAAAATAATCCGAGCAAATTCAATAGGGACCTCACACGGTCGTGCTCGGGCCCTAATTACAGTGGGGCCAAAAAGTATTTAGTCAGCCACTGATTGTGCAAGTTCTCCTACTTAGAAAGATGAGAGAGGTCTGTAATTTTCATCATAGGTACACTTCAACTATGAGAGACAAAATGAGGGGAAAAAATCCAGGAAATCACATTGTAGAATTTATTTGTAAATTATGGTGGAAAATAAGTATTTGGTCACCCACAAACAAGCAAGATTTCTGGCTCTCACAGACCTGTAACTTCTTCTTTAAGACGCTCTTCTGTCCTCCACTCGTTACCTGGATTAATGGCACCTGTTTGAACTCGTTATCTGTATAAAAGACACCTGTCCACAGCCTCAAACAGTCAGACGCCAAACTCAACCATGGCCAAGACCAAAGAGCTGTCGAAGGACACCAGGAAGAAAATTGTAGACCTGCACCAGGCTGGGAAGAGTGAATCTACAACAGGCAAGCAGGTTGGTGTGAAGAAATCAACTGTGGGAGCAATTGTAAGAAAATGGAAGACCCACAAGACTATTGATAATCTCCCTCAATCTGGGGCTCCACGCAAGATCTCATCCCGTGGGGTCAAAATGATCATGAGAACGGTGAGCAAAAATCCCAGAACTACACGGAGGGACCTGATGAAAGACCTGCAGAGATCTGGGACCAAAGTAACAAAGACTACCATCAGTAACACACTACGCTGAGAGGGACTCAAATCCTGCAGCGCCAGGCGTGTCCCCCTGCTTAAGCCAGTACATGTCCAGGCCCGTCTGAAGTTTGCCAGAGAGCGTATGGATGATCCAGAAGAGGATTGGGAGAATATCATGTGGTCAGATGAAACCAAAATAGAACTCTTTGGTAAAAACTCAACTCGTCGTGTTTGGAGGAAGAAGAATGCAGAGTTGCATCCCAAGAACACCATACCTACTGTGAAGCATGGGGCAGGAAACATCATGCTTTGGGGCTGTTTTTCTGCAAAGGGGACAGGAAAACTGATTCGTGTAAAGGGAAGAATGAACAGGGCCAAGTATCGTGAGATTTTAAGCCGAAGCCGAAACCTCCTTCCATTAGTGAGAGCCTTGAAGATGGAACATGACATGATCCCAAACACACCGCTCGGGCTCCATAAAAAGCATTTCAAGGTCCTGGAGTGGCCTAGCCAGTCTCCAGACCTCAACCCCATAGAAAATTTGTGGAGGGAGTTGAAAGTCCGTGTTGCCCAGCGACAGCCCCAAAACATCACTGCTCTAGAGGAGATCTGCATGGAGGAATGGGCCAAAATACCAGCTACAGTGTGTGCAAACCTGCTGGAGACTTAGTTGAACTTTTGTTATTGACCAAATACTTATTTTCCACCATAATTTACAAATAAACTCTACAATGGGATTTCCTGGATTGTTTTATTCTCATTTTGTCTCTCATAGTTTGAAGTGTACCTATGATGAAAATTACAGACCTCTCTCATCTTTCTAAGTAGGAGAACTTGCACAATCAGTGGCTGACTAAATACTTTTTGGCCCCATTGTACATGGAATACATTCTTGAAAAGCAAGCAGTTACACATCATTGAGAAATGATCAGTTGTCCTCTGTCAGATGTATTCTGCTGATGACATCACGTCCTTCTCCCTCCATCAGACAGAGGTGGATAAAGTTCACAAGGTGCGAATGGGAGTCGGGAACGGGCTGCGGCAGGATGTCTGGCGGGAGTTCCACTGTCGCTTTGGAGCCATTAAAATGTGCGAGGTGTACGGCTCCACTGAGGGAAACCTTTGTTTCATGAACCACATCGGCAAGATTGGAACTGTGGGTCGCTCCAACTTTTTCTACAGGGTGAGTGCTTGCTAACCTTAAGGTGGGAGGTGTGCAATATGTGATGAGGGGGTGGAATGCCACGCAAGTACTAACTGTAAGTGCAAGACCAGAACAAGAGACTCTAGACTCCAGAATCTTCTGCCTTTTGCAGAAGATGCAAAAGGCAAATGAAAAGATACACCATGACATGTCATCCACTGCTAATTATTCTACTATTTAGACAAAGATTTTACAGTTACACTCAGTTACAGGCCTCTTAAAACTTACAATGCATAAAAAGAGCAAATGTGTTTGGGGTTAATGTTTGCGTTTTCCCAATGGATCTTTATTGATATACATATTAATTATTTTATTATGAATCAATGCTTTTCCTTTGGCAGAGCAGTGTTAAATAAAGTTGGATGAGACAGCTAATATTCAATTATATTTTATTTATATAGAGCTAATTGACAACAACAGTTATCTCATTGCGCTTTTCATCTAGAGCATGTGAGAGAGAGCGAGGGCAAGAGAGGGTTGGGGGGTCCAGCCAACACAATATCCACACAGAAATTCATACCCTAAAAGTATTGGTGGTACAGACGGAAAATGAATAATGGTACTCAGGTGATGGAAGATGGACTGACCCAGGTTCTGTTCCTCTAGTGATGACCAAAGATATAGCCAAATCTTTCTTTGACCTCCACTTGATTGCTGCAGGGATGAAGGTAACTTGGTTGACCATTCTCTAAGATTGTAATCTTGAGAGACACCCCCAATCCCAAGACAAACCTCTCCCACATTGACCCATCCAAGGTCCAACTTCTGAGCAAATGACCATTGTGAGGCCCATTGATTTTTTTTTTCCTGACCTTATGCACTCTCAAAACGTCTCTGCCAAGAATCTGAAGTATGTCTGCTTGAGGATCCAGGGGTGGTAACTCATTCACAACCTTCTTCAGGTGACTTTTTTTTTGTTGCAACATATTTTTTATTGAAAACTGAATCAAGTTACATGAAAATGGGCAACCTTTAAAATTTTGATTTTAAACAGATAACAGAAAATAAGAAAAAGAAAAGGAACATAACCAACAAAACCACCCAGATCCCTCCCACCCTGGCTTACATAAAGTTATACATACAGCAAAATATAAGAGAACTTAGTCTGGTAACATATATGATAGAAAAGGCTGCCAGATGGGGGAAAAAACTTGTCCGTGTTTCCTCTCATTGTGTACTTAACTTTCTCAAGTTTTAAGTAAAACACAACATCAGTAAGGCACTGTGATTTCCCCTACAGGGCCAGTGGCAGTTCTATACCAGTTTTATTAAGGGGGCCAGGCTGGGGCCAGTTGGTTTGTAAGAGGGGCCCATTCAATCAGAGATTCAACAGGAAAAACATGTGGCTCAAGTGACAATGTGGGTTCAGACATCTTTCACACTTATCCTCAACTCCTGGGAAAATAACAGATTGTCTTGCTTTTGAAAAATGGAACCTGGGTACAACCTTAATGCGAATCAGTACCGTAGACTGGGCCTTTCCGAAACTGCTTGCTACTCCCTCTCCCTACATACTTCCACTCTGTTTGCGCGTTCATGTGGATGGTCCGCCACATTGAGTGCCATCTGAAACCAATGAGGGCAGACTGGTAGTGGGTTGTTCAACCCTCAAATGCCGAGTTAGCACCGATGCTGGCTTGTTGAAGGTGTGTAACATCCTTTGCTGCACGATGGGGGACCTTTCTTTCAATTTGCGTTCCGTGTGACTTCGCCGGTTAACATGTAGGATTTTTTATTTCAAAACTACACAAACATTGTCACGTCACCATTCACAGGTTAACAGCATAGCCCATATGATTTATACTGAAATGTTGTATTTGTGAATGTAACGTTTTTCATATAGGCTAAGTTAAAGAGGTTCAAATATATAGGCTTTTCTTTACAATGAATATCAATCTTTTCATAAAAGAATAGATAAATTTTTGTAAATGTAATCTGAAAAAACTTGAATGACAAATGCTTTCAGTTTCGTTATTGCAAAAAACACACTTTTCCTCAACATTAATTCTGAATCTTAATACCACTGTTTATTTATTTATTTGATTAACGTATTATAGCGGTGAGTGCAGCGGTAACGTCAGATCCTATTTATGCAGGGGAGATAGGGTAGTACATCCGAAAGTTGTCGCTGTATTTAAACCCTCCGCGGGTTAGGGAGCTCAATTTGGCCTGGAGGCTGACTTTGGTCAAAGAGTTCACTCCGTGTCGGAGTGGAAGTGGCGAGGGTCTAGTTTCGGAAAGGCCCCCAGTATATAAAAATGGACGTAGCGTCTGTGGCGTCACCCGTTGGTTTCTGAAGAGCAGTTTTGAAGCCCGAATTGGGCGTAGCTGGGCGGCGCCATCTTGGAAGCGCGTCACCGTGTGTCACTCCCGGATGACCAGAAATGGGCAAAGAGGCGGGTCGTGGGTGGAGCTGAGGTGATGTGTTGCCGCCTAGCTCGACGTGACAGAGTGAACTCGAACTGCATTGGTGACGACACTATGGAAACGCCTCTGGGCGTGGCAGGGCTGAACTATGAATGAAACTACTCCAATCCTATTGGTGTTACTATAACGGTAGTGTGTGACGGCGTAACCGGAGGGGGTATATAAGCACGCCGGCACATAGGACACATTAGCTTCTTTCTATTCAGCAGGCACTATGGCTATGTTTGGAAGCTCCATTATCCTCCCTGACGTCGAGACGAAGCAGCAGATCATGTCGAAGTGATTCCGACAGTGTGTCTTTCCATGTGAGCGTTTCATCACGGAGGGTGATACCCATGGGATGTGCGTCTCACGCCTGGGGATGTCGCATGCTCAGGCGGCTCTCGAGGGGGCTGCCTGCGACCATTGCGAGGCCCTGCCCCTGAGGGTCCTGAGGTCTCGAGCGGCTCTCTTCCTAGAGGATGGTCGGATGCGCTCCCCTAGTGGCACAGGCCCCGCGGTCGCTGAGGCATCGCGGCGGGTCCGATCCTGGGGTCACAATGCGAGATCGCGAGGGTGCCGGAACGGCTGAGGCCTTTTTCTGGTCCTCGTCCGCGGAATCCTCCTCCCCTCATTCCCGATCGGGAGCCCGTTTCTCAGTTTCTCCCACTCGAGGGGTGAGTCCGGAGAGGCTGACACGATCTGGCTCTGAGGAGCTAGATGTGCTTAGCATGGAGGAAACGGAACGTCATCAGCCCTCGCCAGGATACGAGGAGTTGTTCGAAGTGGTGACGCGGGCCGTGGCCAAGCTGCACATTGATTGGCCACGGGCGGTGCAGCAGCTATCGGTAGGCAGCAAACTAGATGAGCGGTTTCTGCAACACCGAGTGCCACCCCCGCGTCGGCCCCTACCATTTTTTCCATGATCACAATGAGTTGTGTAGATCATGGAATAAACCCTTCTCTGCGCGGCTGTCTATGTCCCCCCGGCTGGACTACGGCAACGTTACAGAAATCAGACAATACGGCTACGGAGCGATGCCACGAGTGGAGGAGGCACTGGCTAGCTACCTCTCTCCCAACCTCGCCTCATCCCTCCGGACGCCGGCGCTCCCCACCAAGCCATGTCGGTTGATGGCCGATTTGGTGGGCAAGGCCTACATGGCAGCGGGTCGAGCTGGTGCCAGCCTACACACAATGGCTGTCTTGCAGGCATACCAGGCTGCTCTCCTTTGGGACTGTCACGTAGGGGGAGGTCCCTCTGAGGAGGACCTGACGGAGCTCCGTAGAGCGACGGACTTGGCTCTCCGTGTGACCAAGGAAACGGCCCGTTCCATCGGCCGATCCATGGCGGCTTTGGTGGCTACGGAGCGCCATCTGTGGCTCAACCTATCAGGCATCCAGGGGAAGGAGAGGGCTTTTCTCCTGGATGCGCCCCTCTCGCCTTCTGGCCTGTTTGGCGAAGCAGTGGATGCTGTCGTCAACAGGTTCCAGCACGGCAAAACTCAGGGAGAGGCGTTTGAGCGATATCTCCCCCGCCGGTCAGACTCCAGGACTGCGACAGCTCAGGAAAGGCGGACGCAGCCTTCATCCAGCACCTACCGCCACAACCAGAAGCACAGCGTCGCTTTGCGGGATCCCCCTCAACCAACCTGGGACGCAAGACGGCGCACTCGCCCACAGCCCCCCGGGAAGACGGATCTGAGGACCGTCATTCAGTCTCGGCGGGCCCGGGGGGAAGAGGTCCTGAGACCTCGAGTAGGGGGAACCACCACCACCCCCCGCCTCCTCCCCCTCCCTGCCCCCCTTCCCCGGAGAGAGGCCGATCGAGGTCCCCTCTCTCATGGTGGCTCCATCAACAGGCGTTGTTTCTCCCACCGCTTCAGCGCTCGGGACGATCTGTCCGCCCCGAGGGGCGGCAGCCGGAACACGACTGGGCTCACAAACCGTGGTTCACCGGCGAGCCTTCCCTGGCGGTTCTCCACTTCAAGGCGCCACCGGGGATTCCCGTGGGACACCGGCCACCAGCCCCGAGGGGCTGGTCCCCTTGGCGAAGTTCGCGGAAGCTTGGCGAAGCCTCGTGAACATTTCCCTGTGGGTCCTGCGCACAGTAGTAGATGGCTACAGGCTGCAGTTCCGGGTTTGCCCCCCCCAGATTCTGCGGGATGGTTGGGACTACAGTACACGCAGAACAGAGCCAGGTGTTGGGACAGGAAGTCCGCTCTCTGCTGAAGAAAGGGGCCATAGAATTAATTGCCCTGCCGGTCAGAGAAGTGTGTTTCGGGTCCCCCAAGGCTCCCCGCTTCTAAACACACCATCAGAAACTGGATCGTTCAGACTATTTCCCTGGCCTATCAGGTGCGCGGTTTGCCTTCACCTATGGCCGTAAGGGCATACTCTACTAGAGGCATGGCGGCTTCTAGGGCCCTCCTCGCAGGGGCGTCACTCCAGGATTTGTGTGACGCGGCTGGCTGGGCCACCCCTCACACTTTTATCCGGTTTTACAGTCTGGACCTACCTTCTGCACCCGGCACCCGTGCGCTCTCCTCCTAGTCCTGCCGTCAGGTTCTGCA